AGCAGCAGCAGCAGCAGCATTAGTGGTGGTGGCGGTGGTCCCGATGGTAGTAGCTAGAAGTCGTCGTCGTCGTAGTCGTAGTAGTAGTAGTAGTAGTAGTCGTAGTAGTTGTAGCAGCAGTAGTAGCAGTAGTAGCAGTAGTGGTGGCGGTGGTGGCGGTGGTGGTGGTAGTGGCTAGACGTCAAAGTAGTAGTAGTAGTAGTAGTAGTAGTAGCAGTAGTAGTAGTAGTAGTAGTAGTAGTAGTGGTAGTAGTTGTAGTTGTAGTAGTAGTAGTAGTAGCAGTAGTAGTGGTAGTAGTAGTAGTAGTAGTAGTAGTAGTAGTAGTAGTGGTAGTAGTAGTAGTAGTAGTAGTAGTATTAGGTAGTGGCGAGAAGTCAATGTAGTAGTAGTAATAGTAGTAGTAGTAGTAGTAGTAGTAGTGGTAGTGGTAGTAGTAGTAGTAGTAGTAGTAGTAGTGGTAGTAGTGGTAGTAGTAGTAGTAATAATAATAGTTCTAGTAGTAGTAGAAATACTAACGATAGCAGTAGTAGTAGTAGTAGTAGTAGTAGTAGGAGGAGGAGGAGTAGGAGTAGTAGTAGCAGCAGTAGTAGTAGTAGTTGTTGTTGTGGCGGCGGCAGTAGCAGCGGCAGTCGTCGTCGTCTTTGTAGAGGCGTCGGCGCGTTGTAGTAAGCCAACATAGTCATCACAACCAACACAAAGACGCAGCCGTGCTGGTCATGATACTGGCGACAATCAGAACCAGAGACTGTAATCAGAGTAGCCTCTCTATTTCATTCTCGGGAACCCACCAAATTCCGAGTACTCACTATGACTACAGTCTCCCACACAAAGTGCCGAGAAGTTTCGTCAGAGCACGTTCATACTGCTGGACAGCATAGTGACCATCCCATATCACACTTGCTGGATGCTTTGGGTTTCACGACCCGTATAGGGCAGCGTGACACCAACACGCCGAGACGACCGAGACTTGCATGATGCCGGGAGCCAAGGCCTGGACACAGGGAGACCGGAACACGCGGACAAGCCGGGAGACGGAAAATCTGCGATACGATGTTACTATTACGGGACGACGGGACATCGGAAACATCGAGACACAAGGACGCGCTGCAACACGGTGCAGAGACACGGGCTCACTGAGAAACACGACGCCGGCGCACCAAGACTGGAAAACAGTGTTGAGGCGTGTAAGTCACCGTGTAAGGCTTTTCAAAACCTGAGCATTGAGCTGGTAGGACTTGCCACATAAGTTGAGCCGAATTGCAAGGCGTTCTGAAGCCGCGTGGCTACTCCGCGCACAGCAAAGGCGGCGATTCCGCAAGCTGTTGCAGCCACCAGCACCTGCCCAGCAAAGGCACACACAAAGACCGGCTGTCCTGCATGGACATATCCAGTTCCTTGGGAAACTACGCAAGGGATTTCAACAGAATGTGGATTCATGGCGATGTCAGAGCAGTCCCGTCGTACAGCAGTCCTGCCGAGGCTTCCAAACTTCACCAAGCCGTTGTGCAAAGCCCATGCCCTTTAAACTGGAGATCTCAACATATCGTAAACTTCGACGGTTCGTTCAGGAACTGCTGCTACATACACTGCGCCGTGACGGCAGAACAGCTCGGAGGAGAGTTGGCTCCAGCCCGCTCTGATAAGTACATCGAGCGAAGCCGATCCTTATATCTTGGCTTTGGACATTTCTGGATGCCTCAAGAACTATATGCAAGTGAAGCGCTGTTGCATGATGAACCCAAAGCGCCCTAAACAACATCCAATGCCGCACCGTTCCGAAAATGAAAACTGGGACGGACAAGCAGGAAAGAAATCGTCAGACCCTTCCAAAATCCAACCGGCTTCGACGGCGCAGACCGAAGCCCGCTTGAGTTATGTGGTCGTGCAGAGTCGTGCTGTTCCTGCGGGACCAGGCACCCGCCGCCCGAAGCCGGGCGCCTGCGTCAGCGCACTGGATGCTGCTGGAGCCATGGCGTCACAACGCTGTTGTGGTAACTCTGCTTTAAGGCCTTAGTATGCCTTAGTGCCCAATCTTACAATGTTGCTTGACCTAGTTCCTTTGACAAACAGCCAGCTTCTTGCGGTAGCTCCACATGTGTGAAGTTGTCCGTGTCGGTCGAACAACACGTGGTCCACTTGAGTTCTGTTACCGATAAAAATCGAAAACTTCAAGTCGACAAGGTATGAGGTACGAACTACCAAGCACTACCTACAAACTACTAAGTACGCACTACGTGCTACTTACCACTAAGTACCAACTTACAACTACTCTACCTGAAAAGCCTGATGGCCTGTTTTATCCGGCTACTATTGACAGTGGCTCTGCTGAGTCGCCACTTACAAGCAGTTGCTTGTTTCCTACGACGACGACGACGACGACGACGACGGCTGCTACAGATAGCTGCTGGACATAAAACATTCATCAGTAGGAGTGCCAAAAATGCAAAACCACTTCTGCCCGTCGGTGGATGGACGAAATCTAGCACCACCCATACACGCATTGAGCAGTGCAAGATTTGGGCCATTGGAACAAGTCGGTCCGGAGCCTTTCATAATGTCAAAGAGCTGGTGCGGGGAATCACTAAAGGCCGTTTCCGTTTGGGAAAAATGGCGCAACACTTTGTCCATCCACGCTAGTCGTACTATAGTACCAGTACTGGCACGAGGAGCACTAGAAGTACGTCACCCCCCCGTCGTTTGGCAG